CCCTCTACCCCACTGACCCGTTCCTTTTTCCTCACCGACAGTTTCCATCTACCTCACCGACCCGTGCCCTTACCCCAATGACCAGTTCCATCTACTCACCCGACCAGTGCCCCTACCCACCGGGCCAGTTCCTCTACCCACGACCAGGCATCTACCTCACCTGACCAGTTCATTACCTCACCCGACTTGTTCCATCTACCTCACCCGACCCGTTCCATCTACCCACCTGACCCCTTCCCTTACCTCACCTACAGTTATTACCTCACCGACCCGTTCCCTCTACCTCACCGACCCCTTCAAACTACTCACTGCCGTGCCATCTACCTCCCCGACCATTCCATTACCTCCCTGATAGTTCCTCTATCACCTGCCAGTTCCATCTACCCCACCTGACCAGTTCCTTACCTCACCTGACCATTCCCCTTTACCTTCATGCTGTTCATCTACATCACCCGACATTCCATCTACCCCACCTGACCCTTACTACCTACTGACCAAAATTCCTTTTACCCCCCGACCAGTTCCATCACCTCACCTTTTTACCATTTTCCCTTACTACTAAACATTCCTTACCCCACCTGACCCCTTATTTACCCCCTGACCGGTTCCATCTAACTCACCTGACCTTCCCCTACCTCACCCGACCCGTTCCCTTTTCCTCCCCTGACCCGTCCATCTCCCACCTGGCCATTCCTTCCTACCTGACCCTTCCCCACCCCACCCGACCCTTTTTATCTCCTCACCGACCCGTCCCTTACCTACCTGACATTTTTATCTACTCACCTGACAGTTCCCCTACCCCACCGACCAGTTCATTCCCCACCGCCCGTTCCATCTACTCCCCGACCCGTTCATTACCTCCCCGCCATTCCCTCTACCTCACCTGACCCGTTCCATTCCTCAACCGACCGTGACTTTCCTCACCCGACCCGTTATTACCCCACCTGCTATTCCCTCTACCCCACCCGACCAGTTCCATCTCCTCAATGACCGCCCTACTCACCCGACCCGTTCCATCTCCTACCTGATAGTTCCCTCTAATCACCTGACCGTTCCATCTACCCCCACCTGCCGTTCATCTACTCACCCGACAGTTCCTCTACCTGCCTGATAGTTTCTACACACCGACCCGTTCCATTCCTCACGTGACAGTTTTACTACTCACCTGACCCTTCCTTCTATCTACCGTTCATCTACCTCTCTGACTTTCCATTACCCCATTGACCCGTTCCATTACCTCTCGACCCGTTTCCCTCTACCCCATTGACCCTTCATCTACCTCATTGCCATTTTTCTACCTCCCTGACCGTTTCCCTCTAGTTTTTTCACACCCACCCCCACCACAACACCACACAACCACACACACCACACACACACAAAACCCCACAAACACACCCCAAAAAACCACACACACCCCACACACCACCCCAAACATAAAAACACACACCACCCACACACACACCAACAACAACACCACAACACACACACACAACACACACACAAGTGGGACCCTTTACAGCAGGTTTTCCCCAAAGGGTCAGTTGGGACCTGCGCTGTTTTTGGGTATATTTTGGGAAGACATTAAGGAAGGGAAAGACTAGAAGTGTCTTTTTGCAGATGGGTTTTAATTTTAAAGACCGAAATCAAAACGGTCGAGGTCAGGCAGACTAAAAAGGCCCGGGCGGCTAAAACCGGTCCGCAAAATGGTCCTGAATTTACCCCTGCCAAAAAGGTATGAAGATCGGGGAAGGGCAAAGAAGAGCGAAACCCCGTTAGTCTTTGGGGACAAAGTTGCAAACCCACTAAGGGAAAAAAAGGGATAATCCCAGAATCTCCCGAGGCCAATCAATCAGATAACTGCTTCAGAGTGGGGGTCTGGCAAAAATAAAAATAGCGTTCCGATACTCGGTAGGAATCATTCAAGATTGTAACCATAAAGTCAGGCCCTGGGGTATGCGCACCCGTTTTGGAAACCCCACCCGGTCAAGCCGTCAAGAAAATTTGAGAAAGTGCAAAAGGGTTTGAACAAAGAAATCCCCGACTAAGGGGGGTTGTCCTAGAAGAAAAAGGGTTAAGGGAAAAATTTGGCCCGACGACCTGGAGGACAGGAGGGTCAGGGGGACATGGGTAAACATATAAAATTTTCGCCGGAAAAGACAAGGTGGACAAAGACAGGATGTTCAAGAGTGGGAAACAGAAACAAAGGGCCATTGGGGGTTGAAACTCGTAGTCAAATAAATGTTAGGAATATTTCCCAGTCATGAGTAGTCAGGAAGTGGTTTCCTAGCAAGTAACGTGTGGAGGGGGGGGAAACCCTACTAGTTTTAAACGAGGGATGATAAGCCCCCGGAGCAGGGAAAAGGGGAGGGCCTAGTAGCACTCAGTGAAGGGGGGCCAGGGGCAGTCTCGCCCCCCGCAAAAACAATTAGGTGAGTACACACACAACACACACACAACACATATATAATAATTTTATAATATATATATATATAAATTATTTTATATAATATATTATATGTGTGTGTGTGTTGTGTGTGTGGTGTGTGTGGGGTGGGTGTGTGTGTGTGTGTGGTGGTGTGGTGTCGTGCCCAATTGTAAATGGTCAATTTGCAAGAACTCTTTTTAAAAATTTAAATTCTTTCAAAAATTTTTTTTTCTACGTTTAAAATATTTTTTTTATTTAAAGTTAATGTAAAAATTTAAATTTTGCACCAAAGAATCTTTGAAAATTTCCCAACCATATAAAAGCGATTTTTTTAGTAATCCCGTAAAAATTTTTTTAGATGTTTACAATAATTTAATAATAACAAACACAAGATATATTTTTTTTCGTTTGGTTCAGAATGATTTTTGGAAAAATTTTTACATAACAAATTTTGTTGTCTTATTCAATCCAGTTTTAATTTAAATTTATTCTCTAAAGGGTTACAAAGTGGGGTTTTCAGGTTTTGGTATTGTTGGTTTACTTTATAAAAATAATTACAGGGGGGCCCCTAGGGAAACCCAGCATGGTAGGCATTTCGGCAGATTAGATTAATTCTTAAATTAATCCTTTCAGATTTTTGGTATAAGGCTAATGACTACATCTTAAATTTTTGAGTTCGCAAAGTGAATGCTTTTGTTTTGGCACAAACAGGTGTTAATGGAGTTTTTTAGGCAAACTTAAGAAAGTTAGGATTTTTATTTTAAATTAGTGTTTTTGGGTTTTTAGCGTGGGGGTGAATGTAACCCCAGGGGGGTTTCATGTAGTTTTGTGGGGTGGATCAGGGGAATAAATTTTTTTAACGAGTTTTTAAAGTGATGAATGTGTCTGCAGTTCTAGAGTTTTCAGGTAGGGTGTTCCAGATTTTAGGTCGTTTGATATACATGTACATTGAATTTTTGTAAAGGTTTAGTCGAACACAGGGAATGTCATAGAGATGTTTGTGTCTGGTGTTATGCCTGTGGATCCTGTCACAACTATCAAGAAAGCGTTTTAGGTCAAGGTTAATATTGGAATTTTAGGTCCTGTAGATATAGATTGCACAGTAGTAAGTGTGGATGTTCTGAACAGGGAGTAAGTTTAGATCTATGAAGAGTGGGGGGGGGGTGTTGCCAGGGATGGGAATTAGTGATTATTCTTACTGCGGTTTTTTGTTGGGTTATTATTGGCTTTAGGTGTGTTGCTGCAGTTGAACCCCAAGCACAGATAGCATAGGTGAGGTATGGATATATAAGTGAATGATATAGTGTGAGAAGGGCAGTTTGCGGCACGTAGTATCGTATCTTGGAGAGGATTCCCACCGTTTTGGATACTTTTTTTGTTATGTGTTGGATATGGATGCTGAAATTTATGTTGTTGTCGAGGTATAGGCCAAGGAATTTGCCCTCATTATGTCTGGCAATTAGAGTGTTGTCGAGCAACACCTGCTCTGCTACCAAACATAATATAGTAGGTTTTGCCAGTGTTAAGTGTAAGTTTATTGGCTGTCATCCAAGTCGATATTTTGAGCAGCTCCTCGTTAACAATGGTGTTGAGGGTGGCAAGATTAGGGTGGGAGATGACATAAGTCGTGCCGTCAGTAAAGAGAATGGGTTTCAGGTGTTGGGATATGTTTGGAAGATCATTGATGTAAATGAGGAAGAGCAGGGATCCAAAGACACTTCCCTGCGGAACTCCGGTATCAAGTGGCCGTATTGATGAGGCTGTGTCTTTAATGGTGACATACTGATACCTATTAGAAAGGTAGGATTTAAAATATGCAAGCGCATGGCCTCTTATACCATAGTGGTCAAGTTTGTGGAGTAGGATGCCGTGGTCTACTGTGTCAAACGCTTTTCTTAGGTCAATAAAAATTCCTAGCGGATATTCCTTATTTTCCAATGCTGTGTAAAGCAGGTCTAGCATTTTTATAATTGCATCATTGGTGCTTTTATTTTTCCTGAATCCAAATTGGCAGGGATTGAGTATGTTTTGTGACGTCATAAATGAATATAGTCTCCTGTGCACGAGTTTCTCAAGATTTTGGATAGCAATGGTAAGTTTGATATTGGCCTATAGTTGTTTACGTCTGTAGGGTCACCACCTTTATGTATTGGTGTAACCCTTGCTGTCATGAGTAGTGTCGGGAAAGTGCTAGTTTCTAGTGACTTGTTAAAAAGTAATGTAATAGCATGCGAAAGGACATGGGCCGCTCGCTTGTACAATAATGGTGGGACGTGAGACAGATTCCCCGAGTTATTTTTAAGTGACTTTATGATCGCGGTGACTTCCGTGGGTTCAGTTGGTACAGATGAGCGTTAGCAAGATGAGCGTTGCTATTTAAGCCAAGATCGTAAGTTTTACATATTTGGCACGACATATATATTATAATATATATATATATATATATATATATATATATATATATATATATATATATATATATTATATATATATATATATATATATATATATATATATATATATATAATAAAGTATATAATTATGTACATGTATTAATTATACATTTTTATTTCAGCTTGACGATGGAGAGGTTTACGAGACCGTCAAGGAAGGTATGTTATAGGCCTGGTAATATAGGTCTACTAAGTTTTCACTGATATTTCAAGAGATTTTTTTCTGGAACTTCATTATTTCCAGAGTCTGTTACTAGTTCTTCTGTTTATGTTAAAGTTGTGATATAAGTCGTAGTAGTAGCAGTAGTAGTAGCAATGTTAGTAGTAGTAGTAGCAGCAGCAATATTAGCAGTAGTAGTAACAGCAGCAGCAGTAGTAGTAGTAGTATTAGTATTAGTTGTAGTAGTAGTAGTTGTAGTAGTAGTAGTACATAAGAACATAAGAACGAAGGAACACTGCAGCAGGTCTACTGGCCCATGCGAGGCAGGCCCAAGTCTCCTACCGGCTTAAGCCAATGCACCCAACCTAGTCAGGTCAGGTCACCTTGACTTAAGGGAGGAACACGGCAACCGTCCTGGTAGCACAAGCTAATCAGGTCCAACTCACACCCACCCACACCCACTCATGTATTTATCCAACCTATTTTTAAAGCTACACAACGTTCTGGCCTCTATAACTGTACTTGGGAGTTTGTTCCACTCATCCACAACTCTATTACCAAACCAGTACTTTCCTATATCCTTCCTGAATCTGAATTTTTCTAACTTAAAGCCATTGCTGCGAGTCCTGTCTAGGCTAGATATTTTCAGCACAGTATTTACATCCCTTTTATTTATTCCTGTCTTCCATTTATACACCTCAATCATATCCCCCCTAATTCTACGTCTTTCTAGAGAGTGAAGATTCAGGGCCCTTAGTCTATCCTCATAGGGAAGGTTTCTGATACATGGGATCAACTTTGTCATCCTCCTTTGTACATTTTCCAGAGTATTTATATCCATTCTGTAATACGGTGACCAAAACTGTGCAGCATAATCTAAATGAGGCCTAACCAAGGATGTATAGAGTTGAAGAACAACCTGAGGACTCCTATTATTTATGCTTCTTGATATGAAGCCAAGGATTCTATTAGCTTTATTGCGAACACTTATGCACTGTTGTCTTGGTTTCAGATTACTGCTAACCAGAACTCCTAAATCTTTTTCGCAATCCGTAATATTAAGATCTACATTATTTAGTTTATATGTGGCATGGTTATTGTCCTGTCCAACATTTAGAACTTTGCATTTGTCTATATCAAACTGCATCTGCCACCTCTCCGACCACTGCATCAGTCTACTCAAATCTTCCTGGAGTGCTCTAATGTCCTCGTCAGAATGAATTCGACGGCCTATTTTGGTGTCATCGGCAAACTTGCTGATGTCGCTCTTTATTCCCTCATCTATGTCGTTTATGTATATTGTGAACAGCAGGGGGCCCAACACTGACCCCTGTGGAACACCGCTCGTGACGCTTCCCCACTCTGATTTCTCCCCATTTATGCAAACTCTCTGCTGCCTATTTGTCAGCCATGCCTCTATCCAGGAAAAAATTTCTCCTCCTATTCCATGTGCCTTAATTTTCCTCAATAGTCTCTGATGTGGGACCCTCTCAAAAGCCTTACTGAAGTCCATGTACACAATATCATATTCATTACCATGATCTACCTCCTCAAATACCTTAGTGAAAAAAAGTTAACAAATTCGTAAGGCAGGAACGCCCCTTTGTAAAACCATGCTGAGATTCGTTGATTAATTTATGCTTTTCAAGGTGGCTACGAACTGCCTCGGCAATTATTGATTCCATAAATTTTCCCACTATGGAGGTTAGGCTTATTGGTCTATAGTTTGAAGCTAAGAACCTGTCACCTGCTTTGAAAATAGGTATCACATTTGCCATTTTCCACTTATCTGGCACCATGCCAGTTTGTAGTGATATGTTGAAAAGATTAGCCAAAGGTTTGCTAAGCTCCTCTTTACATTCCTTTAGAACCCTTGCATACAGTTCATCAGGGCCTGGGGATTTGTTAGGTTTTAATTTATCTATTTGCCTAAGGACCATGTCACTTGTGACCCTAATCGTGCACAGTTTATTATCGTCCTGTTCCACATAATTTATCATTTCTGGAATATCGCTGGTATCCTCCTGTGTAAAAACTGAGAGGAAGTATGTGTTAAAAATTCTACACATTTCCTTATCACTGTCAGTGAGCTGACCCGAGGAACTTTTGAGTGGGCCTATCTTGTCCCTGATCTTACTTCTGTATACCTGGATGGGGTAACAACACAAGACAACCCACCGACGCACAAGATAGGAAAGATTGAGACACTTATGCAACATATGGGAATCTTTATTCAGGAAACGTTTCGCCACACAGTGGCTTCATCAGTCCAATAAAAGGTAGAAGGCCGTAAGGAGAGGAGGAGTTTGAGGTAATCAGTCCCTCAGCCTGGAGTCGATGTGTTCAGTCCATCAATCTTGTAGAATGTACAACATAGGGCCGTAGACGTGGCTTATATACTGTAGTGAGGTGAGGCGAAGTAGGAGGAGGTGAGGTCATAGTGGTACCATCCACTAGTCGAAGTAGGTCTTCGTCCAAAGGTTGGACAAGTGTTGAAGAATTCTTTGTAACAAGATCCCATGATGCTGCAGTGTCTGACAGTTGTGATGAATGGTTTGAAAAACCGGCAAGTTGAAGATTGAGACACTTAGGCAACATATGGGAATCTTTATTCAGGAAACGTTTCGCCACACAACCTTTGGACGAAGACCTACTTCGACTAGTGGATGGTACCACTATGACCCCACCTCCTCCTGCTTCAAGTCACCTCACTACAGTATATAAGCCACGTCTACGGCCCTATGCTGTACATTCTACAAGATTGATGGACTGAACACATCGACTTCAGGCTGAGGGACTGATTACCTCCAACTCCTCCTCGCCTTACGCCTTTCTACTTTGTATTGGACTGATGAAGCCACTGTGTGGCGAAACGTTTCCTGAATAAAGATTCCCATATGTTGCGTAAGTGTCTCAATCTTCAACTTGTCGGTTTTTCAAACCATTCATCACAAGATAGGAAAGGCAAGGAAAATACAGGAAAGAGAGAGAGAGTGAGAGAGAGAGAAGAGAGAGAAGAGAAGAGGAGAGATGGAAGAGACAGAAGAGAGAGAGGAGAGAGAAGAGAGAGAGAGAGAGAGAGAGAGAGATAAAGAGAGAGAGAGACAAAGATCAGATGAAGGCACGACTATTGTGAAGTTTGAAGCACTTGAAACTACAGAAACACATCAAGAACTTAGATTCGTATTACGAAAGTTGTGTATAAGTGATGCTTCAACAAGAGGGCGAATGTGAAGGCTAGAAGTTAGACAGTATTGACAGAGAACCAGTTAATAGCGTGACTGATCTTTAACATGACTGAAAAGAGCATTAGTATCGGAAGTCTAACTTCTTTTGTGCTCTTTAAATCTGTCAGAAAGAGCAGGGAGTTTCTCCAAAGTATTGGAGAGGACAAGTGGAGCAGGAAATGAAGTAGACTCCAGAAGCAACAGTATCAGAGGTACCAGCTAGATTTCTAGTTAATTAGTAACTAGTTAATGACCAAGTCGGATCGACACGCAAACTTGAGTATCATTCTTGGATGTGTAAGTTAAGTGTATAGACTAATATATCCAAATTTGGAAAATAAATGTTTTAATAATCAACTGAATCAGATGTTTTAGAAGTAGAGGAATATAATTAATTAGTTAATTTAATTAATGAGTTAATTTAGTTTGTAATAAAATTTCAATGTAAGAACGTAACTGACGAATGTTCAGCATTATAACCACTACTGTCAGTGACTGGTTGTAACATTATAACCACTACTGTCAGTGACTGTAACATTATAACCACTACTGTCAGTGACTGTAACATTATAACCACTACTGTCAGTGACTGTAACATTATAACCACTACTGTCAGTGACTGGTTGTAACATTATAACCACTACTGTCAGTGACTGTAACATTATAACCACTACTGTCAGTGACTGTAACATTATAACCACTGCTGTCAGTGACTGTAACATTATAACCACTACTGTCAGTGACTGTAACATTATAACCACTACTGTCAGTGACTGTAACATTATAACCACTACTGTCAGTGACTGTAACATTATAACCACTACTGTCAGTGAGTGGTTGTAACATAACCACTACTGTCAGTGACTGTAACATTATAACCACTAGCTGTCAGTGACTGTAACATTATAACCACTACTGTCAGTGACTGTAACATTATAACCACTACTGTCAGTGACTGTAACATTATAACCACTACTGTCAGTGAGTGGTTGTAACATAACCACTACTGTCAGTGACTGTAACATTATAACCACTGCTGTCAGTGACTGTAACATTATAACCACTACTGTCAGTGACTGTAACATTATAACCACTACTGTCAGTGACTGTAACATTATAACCACTACTGTCAGTGACTGTAACATTATAACCACTACTGTCAGTGACTGTAACATTATAACCACTACTGTCAGTGACTGTAACATTATAACCACTACTGTCAGTGACTGGTTGTAACATTATAACCACTACTGTCAATGACTGGCTGTAACATTATAACCACTGCTGTCAGTGACTGTAACATTATAACCACTACTGTCAGTGACTGTAACATTATAACCACTACTGTCAGTGACTGTAACATTATAACCACTACTGTCAGTGACTGTAACATTATAACCACTACTGTCAGTGACTGTAACATTATAACCACTACTGTCGGTGACTGTAACATTATAACCACTACTGTCAGTGAGTGGTTGTAACATAACCACTACTGTCAGTGACTGTAACATTATAACCACTGCTGTCAGTGACTGTAACATTATAACCACTACTGTCAGTGACTGTAACATTATAACCACTACTGTCAGTGACTGTAACATTATAACCATTACTGTCAGTGACTGTAACATTATAACCACTACTGTCAGTGACTGTAACATTATAACCACTACTGTCAGTGACTGTAACATTATAACCACTACTGTCAGTGACTGTAACATTATAACCACTACTGTCAGTGACTGGTTGTAACATTATAACCACTACTG